AGCTGGCATTGTAGTCTACTCTCCCAGGAAACAGTCCTCGTCCTCCGTAAAATGCGTTGCACACATCTGAATATTTGGTTTGAACTGTTCTGGAACAGTGTTGTAAATACAACTTAACCACTGATTTCTAGTTGTGCCCTCTTTTTAAAGGCCAAACAATGTAGTTTCACTTTCACAAAGGAACACACAGCGTCTCCACGACATGGCGGCGGTGGCAACAACAATACTACAGCAAGAATCAAAGTTACTCCTTTCTTTGCATGAGCATTTGAGCAGTGTTATGCAAAACTTCCCACACAGTGACGTAGACATGTGGGGGCGTGTTTAAACGAGGCGTTTTTGGAGGGCGTGGACGAGTCTTAACTTTTATAAAGAATATCTCTTTGGGTTTGAGACTTTAGTCTTTGCAACTTTAGGGATCTTATCTATGCACGAACAGCTTGTAACACTCCAAAGTCCAAAATCGCATCATATGACCCCTTTAAATACACAAGCAATAAATGTAATGAAACATAGATATTAAAGAGAACATAATTATAAAAAATGTATACATGCATGTTTAAACCACATATCATATGCCTGTGAGTAAAAGTAGGTCATAAGATGTGTTTGTTTTTTTTTGTTTTTCAGCAATCGTTATGCATGTGTTTTTACTATTTTTAAATTAAATAGTGTGACTTTATATCGGCCACCCAGCTCTCTAAGATATCCGTATCGTCCATCAAAAATCAAAATCCATTTCAGTCAACCACTGGGTGAAACCCAAAGATTTGTTTTGTCCTTTTTTGATTTATTTGTTTCTTTTGGGGTGAGGTTAGACTCAGTATTCTGAGGCTTCACTTTACAGCAGATAGTAAAAGCAGGAAACAACTCCACTCAACTATCTCCATCATTAAAAATGGCCCAAAAATTAAATATAAAAGTGGTTATCAGTGTGATTTCATTTCATTTCACTTGCAGATGCAGTATGACCTCTTGTGACCTCTGTCGTTAAATTAAGCTGCTTCGTCTCTTTTATAATTGCTGTCCACCTTCCAGTTTCTTTCTACCCAGTGGCAGAGCATTAAAACTGAAGGTCTGAAGATCATACTCTCTGCAGAAGGCCAGGTGCGGTTTAAGCCGCCAGGAGTGGTTCATCCAGTGGACACGCATGATTTAGCTTTAACTCTGGAGGCCTGAGGTCAACCGTTTATATTTTCAGAGGGCCAGCGGAGAAGAGAGCCTTTCATCAGCAAATCTCCAGCCAATGCATGTCTGTTCAGAGAGGAAACCGAGAGGGAGGGAGGGTTAGAAACCGTATTATCAAGGTCACAACTTCATCAGGAAACAGGCGTCAGCATCGCCGTCTCCAGCTAAAGTTTATAGACTGTAATTTTAAACGATTGTCATCCAGCCTTCCAAATAAAGATGTGCCTTCTAACCTGTGGGATTTTTTCTCCCTCCTTGGCTGCAGGTTTTGAATGATGGCTTTCGCACATAAAACAATGTCCTTTAGCTATGGCTGTCGGCCACAAGTTGCTACTCTCAGCTAAAGGAAGCGAAATGTTTAGACCTTTTGTAATTTGTAATCTTCATCCCTTATTCATGTTGTTGTTGTCTTGGCGGTGTTTTGCTTGGCAGAGACAGTTTTACTTTAGCACTTGGGAGATGTTCATGTTTTGTTAACAAAGTAAACATTCCGATTTGAAGAGGTGAATTTATTTATGCAGTTTGCCATTACTTGAGAGAATTAGTGGTGTTTGTGTTTTTACTGTTGTGCGTACTAAGTGTTAAACTTTGGCATGTAATGAGACTCACGCCATTTGCGCTAGACGTAAATGATACCTCAAATGATATGACTTGTTGAGTGCTGTCAGACTTTAATGGTAAAAAAGGTGGAAAGACTAGACTTTGTACCTGAACTAATGTACTTGAAAGATTGTGTGTGTGTGTGTATGTGTGTACATATGTGTGTATAAATTGCGTCTAAAGTTGAACACAGTTAACTTTATTCATCTTTTGAATAAAATCAGTATTGCATTTGGAATCGTGCAGATATTTGGGATAAACAGCACTCTTGCTCATGTGATATTGCTATACTAAAAACTAGGGATGTAACGATTCACTCAACTCACGATTCGATTCGATTTAAGATTTTGATTTCACGATTCGATTCGATTTACAATTTATTTTTTATTTATTTTGAATTAGATTTAAGACAAATTATAAATTAAATGTGTTATTATTGCTTGGACAAAATGCTGCGCGTTTCTTTTTGAAATTGAGATATAACACTATAATAATATACTAATATTTAGCACTTGTATATTATTGCTCTTTTGTTGGTTTTGATTGCTTCTATTGTCCTCATTTGTAAGTCGCTTTGGATAAAAGCATCTGCTAAATAAAATTTAAATATAATGTAAATGTAAATAACAAAACTAAATTGAAATTTTAAAACAAGCCCCAAATCAAATAAATAAGTAACCCAAATAAAAGAAATATCTTCATATAAACAAACTAAGGCTTTGTATGTGCTCTTTCCATTTAAAATTAGAGGCAACCACTGCATTTTAATCATGATCCAAACAAAGATGCTGCATACATGCAACATGAGCAGTTTTTAATCTA